ATTTATCTTTGGTTAAAGGTCTGTAATTACAAAATTTGACATCGGCAAAGCAACTGCATGGCGAGCAGTGAGGAGGGTTGTCAAAGCCCTTTGTAAACATAGAAATTATTTTATTCGCTGGCCAAATCAAAGAGACACGGATGAAACCAATCAAAGATTGAGAATGCAATATGGTTTCCCTGGAGTTATTGGAGCTTTGGATGGAACACATATTTGTATACCTACTCCAGCCCGAGATGCTCAATCTTACATAAATAGAAAAGGAAGACATTCTATTCAATTACAGGTAGGTACATACACACACACACACGCGATTATAATAAATTTGATTAACAAAGTATTTTTTATTTAAAAAATTAATTATTCTGTTAAGGTGGTATGTAACGATAAACTGCAATTTTTGCACTGTTACGCTGGACTCCCTGGATCTGTGCATGATATGAGGGTCTTCAAATATTCAGGGTTGCAGCAAAGATGCAATGACGAATATTTTCCAAACAATACTCATATCATTGCAAATTCAGCTTATATGTATATTACAAAAACATATCATGGTACCATATAAAGATAATGGCCACTTAACTTGTGAAGAAATACATTATAATAAGATATTGTCTAGTACCAGAATGATAGTAGAGAGATCAATTGGTCTATTAAAAGGACGATGGAGATGTCTTCTAGACAAATTACCTATGCGGAGGACGGACTTGATTCCTTACTATATATTAAGTTGCTGTGTTTTGCACAACATTTGTTTGCTGCAAGATGATGACTTAGAATATCCAGTCATTATTAATGAGAACAGAAATGTAGAACAAGAGCCAATGGCAGTGAATGAATTATTACAAAATGAAGGGTTAATCAAAAGGGAAGGAATAAAAAATAATTTGAACATTTAGTTTCTAATTTATCTATAAGATTTTACTGTAATTTTTAAAATTAGCAATATAATACTGGACACAATAATTATATATGCAATATTAAAGGTCTTTAAATAAAAAATTATATTTATATAGATATATTATTTATTATCCACCTCCTTATTAACAGTATATATTTTTACATACTTTGAACAGTTTTTAAATATCTGACTACTATTAACTGTACAACTGAAAAGTAATTTATATTGAGATCATTCTTCATATAAACAAAACATTCCTTAATAAAATCTTGAAGTTACAATAGTCAGTCTTCTTATAAAATATTTTAGAAAACATTTGTACTTATAATTCTACAACACATTATCACAGCGTAATATAATATTTTCTGTTAAATTACTTTAAGAATAAACTTTTAATATTTATTAAATTTATTATAAAATCATTATTGAAAGTATTTTAATTAGGATTAAATAAGTTATTTAATATTTCTTTATACCCCTTTAATAATGCTTCTATAATAATTTCAACAA